CGTTACAAGGCAACGGCTCTCCCACTGGATTGTGGAAGCGATTGCTCTGGCTTATACGAGTCAGGGTTTGCAGGCACCAACGGGCCTGCGTGCTCATTCTACTCGTGGACTGGCTACATCCTGGGCTTTGTTCAAGGGTGTTTCCATCCAAGACATTTGTGCAGCAGCGAGCTGGTCCTCACCGCTCACTTTTGTCCGCTTTTACAGGCTAGGTGTCTCTGCTCCAAGTGTGGCCCGCGTAGTGCTGGGCCCCGTGTTGAGACAAGGTTCTACCTGTTAAGTTCTGGTTGTTTTGGTGATTTTGGAGATAAGCATGTCTAGCAATACGGGAGTTTCAATATCCCATAGTGAGACATCGAACGGAGTGTTATGAATGAGAACTATAGGTTACTCACGTAACCCCAGTTCTCAGAGTAACATAAAGTGAGATGTCTCACCAGACGGCCCTTCTTGCTAAGGCGAAGCGAGAAGAGGTGCTTATTTTGAATGACGCTGCGACGTAGCGCAAGCTACTTAAAGGGTGGGTGGATTCCCTGACGTAGACGTCGAGATCACCAGCCAATCAGGATTGGCGTAATGAGATTGATGCTTCTGTTTGCATACGCGTTGAGGCGCATCCCATAGTGAGACATCTCACTTCATGTTACTCTGAGAACTGGGGTTACGTAAGTAACCCATAGTTTTTCCAAAAGTGAGTAATAAAAAATGCATGTCAGAGTTTTTTCCAAAAGTGAGTAATAAAAAATGCATGTCAGTTGCAAAACCACAGTATCAGCCTAACAATGACATATGATTGTTGAAAACAATGGGCTACCACTCTTTTGGGAACCTTTTTCACCAGATGATGTAACATTGCTGCAGGGTTTCTCTTTCAGTTCACTCAAATTCACACAATTGGCAAGAGGATGCTCTCATTCAGCCACAAATGGATTCACAAAACTCACATTACCCAAGACAAAATGTAAAACAAAAGGTTTTGTTTTTTTATTGGGATACATGCTCACGATGCTCAATGAACACATCAGACATTACTTCCACTTCAGCTGGCTCTGCAAACTAACACATTACTTTTGGAGACAAGCCCCTGACAGGATATCCCTGATAACGAGCCCGCAGCGTCCCCCTTTCTGACCCTCTGTGTCAGTGACTGCTCTTCCCGTCATCAAGACACCCATCCAAATCCACAGACAACACTAAAAAACAAGAAACACAATACCCATCGCATAATGGTAGACCTTTTTGTAATGCAAATAATTTAACATCAGCACTAAGCAACACACTGGCAGCTTTCATGACCCCATTAAATCAGCCTGTGAATGAATCCCAGCTTAAAACAGATGTATGTCTTTGTGCCAAAAACACTCCAACCCTACACCAGCAGCTATCATCATTTAACACTTATTCCATAATACACAATCCCTATCTTTTTAACATAATGAAATTACTTTCCTGTGATTCAGCACTTGTTAATGTAGCAACTATCTACTATTTATTCTCATTATTATTATCTTAATAATGATTGGGGACTTTTTCGTGATTGGTCCTTTTTTAATTTAGTTTTAATTTTCCCCTTTCAATACATTTCACCATTTTTACTTTTAGGGTTATTTATTTTAGTATTATGTAATTGTTCTGACATTCTCATGAATGATTACATGGATATACAGTCATGCCTAAAGGTAGCAGCACTCACAACTTGACACCATATACCTTAACACACCAATCCCCTATCAAGTACACAAATGTTGCATATTGTGGTTTGCTTTAGCATTACACTTGTTGATGTAGCAAGTACCTAGTATTTGTTATTATTCTTAATACTACTATTTGTGTTATTGGTCATGTCTTTTTTTCACAAAATGTTATATTTATTTATTTAACTAACCATTATTAATTAAATGGTTATATGTTGCTCTTTTGCTCTGTAATGATTGTTGCCTTTATTATTTGTATTGATTTATTTGATAAACACTCATACCTTAACCTGTGAGCACCCACCTCATTACCTATTATATATTCCCATGACACATCAATCCTCTAGCAATTACAAAGATGTCACAAAATACATTATTTTGCATCAATTCTGCTCTAAATAGATGTTATTTGAGTATTTTATGTTTCCCTGTCTCCTGTCATCCTCTGCAGTGGTGCTACAAAGGTCACTGCATGTGGAAGAATCCTAATCAGATCAAGCAAGATGGCGCCTGGGGCTCCTGGAGCAAGTATGGCTCCTGCTCCCGCTCTTGTGGTACTGGAGTTCGCTTCCGGACGCGTCAGTGCACCAGCCCAGCGTGAGTGACAGGCATTATTACAAAATGTTGACCTAAAGGAGGAGGTTGATCCTAGTTGGCAGGTATTGTTGGATAATTTAAGTGGGTAGATGTCCTTTTTTGTAACCTTAAATGTACCCTGCCAGTGCCTACTGAGCTACAGGGAGTGTGGGTATTATTCAGGCTATCCTAACCAGAAAAAGGACAGCATTGATTCGTCAAACACCTCAAACTACGCATATTCTCTCTAGTTGATTTTTATGTATTTTATGCAAAATGTCAAAGGAAGAGAAATCGGGCCCAATGTTGGTTTTAAAGTCCACATCACATCTAGTGATACTAGTCCCCTGTGTTTTATTCTCACCATGACAGTTTCTTTAACTTGACTCGTGGCTACGATAACCAAGGAGTTTTAGTCTCCTTATATTAAAGGAATCGTTTGACATCTTTTTTTGAAAATAGAATTATTGACTTTCTTGCAGAGTGATTAACACTTCTGTTACAACTTTGTACAGTATGGGCATATAATAAATCACACCTTCATGAAGGAGACCTAAAGCTAGACACTACTCATTAACTCAACGAGAAATTGCTCCTGTTCACTGATCAAACCTTAAGTCTTTAAAGTATAATGTGCACACTATTCTGTTGTAATTGCTTAACAGCTTTAGAAAGGCAAACTTTTATTGTCAGATGTAATTGTTCTTTGTAGGCTTGGCAGTCAATCATTATTAATGACGTATATAAATAACACTGGGGTTAAAATAAACAATGTAAGCAACTTCTAGAAAAAGGCAGCAGGTGAACTTGAGCTTGTAATCAAACAGGCGGGAAAACACACACGGGGTGGAAAACTCCATTCAAAACAAAATAGGAAACTCTACATTACAGGTGCAATGTTAAACGTAATGCCAATCTTTTATGCATGTTTTCTCATCACACATTAACCATAACATGATTTCTATATTGTGTGGGAAACAGTCATTTGACAGGTTGTGTCTATGTGTAATACATTTGAAATATGTGTATAACAGTGACGAACCGTGTCTATCACAACTGGACCTTCTGTAGACACACACACCCCCCACCGCCCCCCCGGCATTATAGTGTCTGTCTTTTCACTGAATTGTCGTCTCGAAAAGGGTACTCACAACAATTCTGCAACAACTTCATCTTCACCTTTTGCACTTGCCATTTCAACGCTAAAAAGAATAAAACGGCATGAATCGTTTCGTCACATTCATCTAGATCCTCTGTCTCGAGCCAGTTAACTAGCGGGCCTTCTAGAATACCCTGGAACCGAGGGAAACTCTGAAAGAATACGCCCATTGGCTACAAATCAATATATGATTGGTTGATCAAACTGTCAGTCCAAATGTACGCTCTCATTCAGTGCAACGGCCAGGGCATTCTATCAAGGATATAGAATACCTTGGTTGAAGGATATTCTACCCAAAGACCCAGAACAAGATCTGATTGGTTGCTTTCTTTTTTAACACAAAACCACTGAAATGGGTAGTGCATGGTCCGAGAAGGACAAATAAATCAACGTAACACTGTAATATTACAGATCAACAACACAGATACGATTCTCATTTATTTTATATACATTTTATTTATATAATTAAATTTGTTTTATCTGAGTGTTCCAGGGTATTCTCTGAATACCTTGAAGGCCCTGACGGTTCGCCACTGGTGTATAATAAGGTTGCAATACAGGTGTAAAAAAAGGTGTAACATGGGTGAAACACGGGTGGGATAATGGTTTAATAGGGTGTAATATTGGTGTATCAATGTTTAATATGGGTGACGTAATATGAGTGTAATGTAGAACAAAGTAATCAATACATTTGTCATAATATCTATATGTGATTGTCCATTTTAGGGTTAAGCAGGATTTGTTTTCACATTGTGGTCTCAAAGTACTACTTACTATTCCCCCCCCGCAGGCCCTCCAACGGCGGCCAGGACTGCCCAGGAGTGAACTTCGAGTATCAGCTCTGCAACTCTGACGACTGCCCAAAGCACTTCGAGGATTTCAGAGCTCAGCAGTGCCAGCTCCGCAACTCCCACTTTGAATTCCAAAATGCCAAACACCATTGGCTGCCCTACGAACATCCTGACAGTAAGCCAGAAACATTTCAAAAGATAATTTTGTTTTAACGGGAGACTTCTCAAGGTTTTTCTATGCCAAGAAAGAACAAAGAAAGTCTACAAGGGAAGGGAATCTGCATTCTGACAGCAAGAACTGAAAGAAACATATTGTACATTCAAAACATTTCCCAGCCGTTTAAGGGACATTATCAAACAGACCAGACCCTTTTCTGAACTTTTTTAACTGTTTTTTTGTATTATCTTTCTTCCATTATTTTATATGTGTTCATCTTCCTATAACTATGCCAGCATGCAGCGTTTAAAGCCATCCACGCTCAAAATTGCCCTTTTTTGTAAAGATGATGGGTGTTTATAGTGCAGATATAAAACGTTCATCTTTTTAAAATTTCTATATCAGAATTTGCTTTTTCTGGCTTCGCTCCATGGAGCAGTTTCCAACCTCCTGTACTTAAATTGTTTTGTGTTCCCCCAGTCAGTCATGTGGAAAACAAGTAAGAAAACCCTATGAAGGCTGCCAGAATGTAAAGTGGGAGCACGTTGTTCTATGGAAGTTAACGAGCTATCCTGCAGAGTCGAGAGTATTTTTACACTTAGAACCAGGTATTACGTTCAATAGAAAATCAAAGGCCTTTTGTACAAGATTATATTAATTAGTGTCGAGTGCGGTTATTCTGGCCTTTGCCCTAAGGGTAATTTACTTTACTTTAATAACAAACCATAAATTAATTGGGGATAATTTTTTAACCATACAGCTAACAGTATATGCATTTATTTTGTTTATTTTGAAAGGTAAAAAGGCTAGGAATAGGAAACTATTTATATTTCCAATCCAGAGAAAATGGAGACGTAATGAAGGAAAAGGGGCTTTTATTTTGTTGTATGTCTAATATTGTTCAATATCACCATTATAGCAAAAATCCAATGGATCAGGATAATACTTGGTGTCTTCTGCTCCTGCTCTCCACTACAACTCGGAATCTAAATTCAATAAAAGTACATAAACACCTGATACAATTTGGAGAAGGGGCCCTATAATGCTGTTGGCGTTTTCTTTTTCCTGTAGTGTCTTGTATAGGTTTGTGTGCAAACACCACCCCAGTGCTTTTAAAAAGACTCAAAGACAGAATATCCTTACAGATACATATTCAAATTCATAAATACATTATAAATATAAGACCTAAGTCATAAGATACACGAAATGAATTGCACATTAAAAGCAGCTCTGACGAGGTGAGTGTTGATTAAAGGTGGGGTAGGTAATTTTGGAGAAACCAGCTTGAGTGCGTTAGAATTTGAAAATACACAGCCGGAAGAAATCTGCCACTTCCTTACAGAGCCCCTCCTCCAACACACGCGAACGTGCACATGACCAATGAGGGCAAGTAAGTTTGTGCACAGATGGAAGGCTGACAGGCAGGTAGGCCATCCAGTTATTTTAGCCGGGCCGGCTGTCAGCTTCCACAGATGACATTTTTTTATGGATTTTTTGTCAAAGCACTTAAGATATTCATTGCTATCGGGATGTTAAGAGCATTCCATGGAATATAACAACAAGTGTATCTCGAGCCGGTTTCTCAAATTTACATACCCCACCTTTAACATTTTAAAATGAGGACAAATGGTGGAGTTTCTGCAGATCAGTGGTGATGTGGTCATGGGAGTGGGAGTGAGTTCTGAGTATACCTCAGTTTAATTAGGTTAGTTTTGTTGGTCTATATATTTAAGGTGGTTTTGGTGATGTGGTTGATATGGTTTTCAAAAGTCGGGTTGCTGTTGAAAATGACTCCAGGGTTGCGGATGTGTATGGAGGGAGAAAGAGTGGAGTCCTCATTGGTGAAGCAGAAGTTATTATTGGTTCTGTTGAGGGATTGGGGACCAATGATGAGCATGCCAAATGTCTTACAGTTGAGTTTGAGGTAGTAGCATTGCATCCAGGATTTTGGTTCAATCGGGCAGTTGGTCAGGGTAGAGAGAGTTTCAATGGTGATGGATTTACAAAACTCCTATTGTGTTCAAAGGTTGAAAGGGCTTTATTGTCATATCCACAGCTACAGTGTAGATACAGTATGAAATTAAAACACTTAAGTCAGAGGCTCCTCCATTAATGCAACACAAACATAAATACGACATAAAACTAAATCAGAGTAGGAATAAAATATTGCAAGAGACTGTTTCAAGACTTAGAGTAAACTATATGCAAGTAAAATAGATTAAGATAGAAAAAGAAGATGAAATGCTGTATAGTGAAATTAAATATTGCTTATTGTAATAATGGATAAATATATGAGATGCAAACAGATGAATGGTGTGAAGTTGTGAAGGCACAGAGCTCAGGAGTTGATTTATTTATAGCGGTTTGTTTTTCTTTTTGTGAAACTCCCATTGTGTTTTAGAAGTTCAGCAACTGAGAGAGCAATGCCTGTGATTAATCACCACAACCTTTGAAGATTTGTTTTTACTCTAGCCAAGTTAGAGCGCATATCCCGCTGTGTAGAGGTTACATACTCTAGAGGAAGTTTTGCATATAATATACCACATCTAATTGGCCATTATTGCTCTGAGAGGATGCCTGTCGATGCCTGTCAGAATTGACATGTTGGTGGGTGGAAATGGCAAGATAGTTGTAATCTCCGCAGCAAAAGCAATGGGACATTGTGTCAGTTCTTCGGCAAGATAATAAAGAATGTAGGTCAATCCAGCCACTTGAAAAACAAGCTATTAACTGGTACTATCCAACATAAAGAGATGTATGTTTAATGAGCTTCATGTTTCCCTTTTACCCTTTGAAGGTCTGGATCTAATTGTGCATATTTTATGTTTTTAAGTGTTTAGACATTATGTAAATACAACACATTCATCTTTGAAAGTCTTTTAAAATATCAATCTTTCTCTAAGTTGGATTTTGCTTTCCACAACATTTGTATAATGTGTTTTCCTGTAGCTAACAAGAGATGCCATCTGTACTGCCAGTCAAAGGAGACATCAGACGTGGCCTACATGAAGCTGCTGGTGCATGATGGGACACGATGCTCTTACAAAGACGCCTACAGCATCTGCGTACGGGGAGAATGTGTGGTAAGCATGTGGTTAAACTACATGATGTTGACATTGTAAAAGTTGTATTTTAAATCTATAAAAATGTAGACAAAGTGTGATGTTGGAAAACCGATCAGTAACAGGTTTAACTTTGCACATGCTGCGTAGAACCAGGAGTCTAAAATCTGACATTTCCCTCCTCACTGAAATTAATCATACACATACGAAGTATACATACGAAGATACAAGTCTTGGTCACAGAAATATGTATGTCACAGCAACAAGAATTTGGCAACTAATAGTCATAAAACCACAAATGCTTACTAATTATTTGCTTGGTAAAACTTTGTTTGATAACACATTTGGAGAAAATTAGATGCACTTTGTAGGAGCAGTGAACCATTTAGAGGGGCCCGATTGTGCTTTTGGGAATTTTCTCTTTCCTGTTGTCTTATATACAGTATGTGATGGATGTAAATGGTCTGCGAAGGCTTTAATACCAAGTTTCCCCCTGAGGAACACTGAAGCAAAGTAAACAAGTCACAGTAGAGGCACAAAAAAACAATATGAACCTGAAAAACAAGCATAATAGGGCCCTGCCTTGCCCCTGTGTCTGCCTTGCATCTCATGGAGAAAGAGTTGTGAGTAAGTATACAAATATATTACATTTAGTTAAAGTAACGATACAACTGTGTAGACGTACACGTACAGGTGATGCAATGCAATTGTATATAAGAAAAGTACGAAATGATATACCAAGAGTGTAAAAAGGAAAAGTCCTCATTATGTATAATGACACTTTTTTTATTATTTTTGTTATTTTATAATTGTAAAATAATTGATGCAATTTGTGTTTCTATAACTTTAAAATTGCAGATGGTAAAGGTCCATCTGCTGTTGCCTCAATTACTTTATATATTGCTGGTTCGCTTAATCTTTATTAATGCATCAGAATTGATTTAATTATTTATATTTGTATTAATAATCAGACCATGCAAAGTTTATAAAGCTATCAGATACATGTGTCGAGGTAAAAGCAAATCTTCCGCAGTAATGTATTTAATTGTAAGTACAGTATGAAGTTGCATAATATAGAAATATATAAGTAGAGTTCTTTAAAATGGTTATTAAGTATAGTACTTGAGTAAATGTTCAAAGTTACTTTCCACCAAAAAGAGTATGCTTTAGAATGCTCTTCTGGATCTGTATAACATACGTATTCAAAACAAAATCGGATTTACACAACTCTGTCTCCTTTTAGCACTGATAGTCTCATTACGAAGCCTTGTTGTAAAACCACTTTGTATATTTAACAAGTCCAAAAAGAATCTCAACTCATCTGTCTGGTTATGTTCGTGGTCTACAGAATGTCGGCTGCGACAGAGAGATTGGCTCCACCAAAGTTGAAGACAAATGTGGTGTTTGTGGTGGGGACAACTCCCACTGCCGCACCGTGAAAGGATCCTTCACCCGAACACCAAAGAAACCTGGTAAGAAAACATGAAACCAGTACACATGTCTGTGAGTGGAGTGCAGCTTTGTCCATGCTGCAATTTAGTAATCTTTTTTCAGTGGCACTCTTGTTTTACTCCTTTTAACATGTGAAACCTAATCCCACAAACAGAGTATGATTTCTGAATCAAAATCAATGTTTTTTTCAACATGTGAAATAAGATCTGTGGTTAACACAAGCTTAGGAGATTTCCACTTTTTGTTCTGCGACATAAAGTCCGTAAGTAAATACCACACTGGTGAGTTTTCAAATCTTCCATGACAAAAATGGCGTTTGCAAAAAAGTGGCTGATTGAGTACTAAAGTACTAAATTACTAAATACTAAACGTCATCACACCGAACATTAGCCGGCTTTAGCTTAGCGGTAGTGATGCACAGCCATGGAATCGTGATGTCGTTTGTGTCAGGCCAAACATTAGCTTTTTACTACTGCCAATTGCATTTACGCTAAACACCATAAAGATGTTGAAATGCACGGACTATCCTGCTCAACAAAATGTGTAAGTATCATAGACGTGTGTTTGCCATAGATCTTGATTTCTGCAATACTCATAAAACAAAAGGAAAATGACCATTCCTTTTTGTCAAATGAGCCCTTGTAATCACTGCACGACACTATGGGGTCCATATTCTACAGATCTCTATGTCATTTATCTTTGTTAATGTGCAGAATATTGCATTCAAAGCTAATAGATACATCTACAGGGAGCGGTAAAAACCACAGTATCTGTCAGCTGTCACATTTGTTTTTGTTTTGGATTAAGAACCGTATTAATTAGCAGAAAGATAATTATGCCCCTCTTTATTCATTTCACATATTAGTTTCTCTTTTTATTATTGAGTTTGTTAGTTCAGACAGTGTGCCTTCTCTTCGTACAAACTTCTTCAATTGAGGCTGCTTCCTTTAGTTTATCTCCCCTCTGCAGCCACACAGGGCACACACACACACACACACACACACACACACACACACACACACACACACTCACACACACACTCACACTCACACTCACACTCACACTCACACACACACTCACACATGGGTGTTTTGTCTGTAACAAAACTTACTTTGCGTTGCAAAGCTAAATTAGTGTGAGTAAGTGATTCATTTTCTTTGTGAACAATGTGTTTTCACATTAACCTCGAGCATGAGAAAATAACAAACGACCCGTGCATTTAATTTAACGTTTTCATGATGCCTTCTAGTAACCACCTCTGATGCCAGCCTCATCTGTCATCACTATATTACCATTACACCATTATCCATGTGACGTGATGTCATGAAGTCAATCAAATGAAAATTGACGTTGTGAGGGATTTGACGTGACGGCTTCATTAAACCGTTTCAGAATTGTTGAAACTGTTATCAATCCATTTCATAATTTGTTTCTTAACATCACTCTCTCTTTTAACCCCTCACCTTTTTTTAACAGGGAAACACTTAAGCAAGAGAGCCCAAAAAGAAAGCCCTTTGTTGGAAAACACAATATGCAAGTATCCAGTGTTACTGAATACTCCATTACTGCTGTCCTATAGCATTTACTGTGCAGCTTGTAGAGCAGATGGATGCCTAACACTGTAGTGACTTAGAGACAAGAGTGATGTCATCTGCTGTTTCTTCTGTTCCTTGTTACTAATCAAGCGTCTGTTTAGGTCTGACTGTGGGAACTGTGACAGGTTCACTATCCAGAGATGTTGTTTTTGTATGTATTATCATTTAATGTAAATTGCTTCAACAGCCTAACAAACTAACTTTAGAGGTCTTTGTGCAGACAAAAAAAATTCATCAAACAAACTGACAGACTTTTGGAGGTAGTTGGTTATTTAAAAGTTGATTGATTGAGCCTCAACTGGCATGCTGATGCTCCATTCAACCCCACACATCCAAAGTGGTATTTTTTAGAAAGCCCGCTTGTGTGCAGTTTTTCCAATCAGTCGACAAAAAGCCATGTGATCAAACTGTGATTTCTATTAAGCGGCTTGAGGTTTCTGAAATTGGCTGCTATTACAAAATGTTCTCTCAGAGAAGAGGGCATCTTCTGCAATTTTCCGAAAGGTACATTGCAATTTATCTTCTCAAACACACAGCAGAGTGAGCAGCTTCCCCTGGTCTGCCACCTGTTGTGACCCTGTGTGAACACTGCGACATTGTGCCAGCGCATTCATAATCATCATCGTCTACGTCAGGAGGTGTCCAGTGTCAAATCCAAGGGCGAGTAATTACAGCACGGCAATTCAGTCCTGGTGATTATCAAGTGTAAAAAAATAGGTTGCCTCCTCATCCGATGTGAATTGCTCTGCCCCCTGCTATGCTAATTAAATGTGCCTCCACTGTAGGTGATGTTGCAGAGAAATGATAAAATTGGATACGGGAGGAAACACTGCGAGACTCACTAACTGATTCATTTCATTTTGAAGGGAAGACCAGAGGAGCCTTCTCTTTGCCCAAAGGAGCCCGAAATGTGTATTTAAATGAGACGGAAGACTCTAGAAATGTACTCGGTGAGTCATGGTAGGTTTGCAGGCGGTGGACATCCCTGACAGAAGGCCACTTTGCTGCCCTGTAGTCCGAAAATACCCTGTTCTTCACGCTTTATTGAAACATGGCTTGAGGCATTCCCATCCTGTCTGCGTATATTCAAAATAAAGGAATGGAGAGTTTATTTAAGGGATATCTTGAGTTATATGTAATAGTAACACAATAATATGTTGATGTCCTTTGATGACGCAAAAGATAAATGTGAATGAACAGCCTGTTTCAATAAAAAAAAATACCTGTAGGCTTCTATTGAAGGAGACATTTTACCATTTTCTTCTCTGTCGAGCAACACTTCTGAAACATGCGTGATGTCCACCACTGCAAACAAATATGTGTCTCTGTATCTGCTTAACTTACCTATGTGTGTCTTTTCTTTCCTAACCCTCCCTCATCTGCTTCTGCTGCCGCTACAAACTTGGCAAAGGTTACCTTAAGATGTTTCTCATTCCTCCTGGAGCTAGACATGTGATGATCCAAGAACATGAGGCCTCCCCTCAAATTCTTGGTAAGTGTGCCTTCCTAACACCAACACATGAACTGTATGAAATCAGAGAGGACATTTCAACATCCTCTTCTTGTTTTCCAGGAAGACTAATGGGAACACATAATGTAGAATAATAGATGAAAGGCTTTGCATAATTTATTCCATGTCACCTCTCAGGCAGAGAGAATTAGTCTTCGTATTGCTCATTCATAATTTATTATCTATTGAAGAGAGATTAATAGATAAGTGGGTTCTTTCACTGCCAGAAGAATGGCGCTGCAGTTTTTCTTTAAGCATTACTATTTTCTCTACTATGTTAAGGGGAATTCACATTTATAATCTAGTATATTTGCTTTGCCAATAGAAACGTGGCTTCTGTCAGAGTGGAATATCTTAATATTCATATTAAAGCTGCAGGATTGTGGCTGGGATCTTTTTAACAGACTCAGAGGAGAGGAACTGTGATCTATGTGTTTTGTAGAAACAGCTATGTTAAATGCATTATTTTGACCTCTGTTTATGTTGAAGTTATAAACTCTGCAGTGTCTAAAGGAGTTATACTGTAACCGAACTTTGAGAGCGGAGGAGGAATAAGGCCACAGCTTTATTATCGAGCCACAAAGTCCAGCGTGGATACACGTTTCAACAAAACTATAGATGAGAGCACTCAATCCGGTTACTTTCCCTCTAAGTCATCGCCCCTTTTTCAGTGAAAACATATGCTGTCATTTGACTGGCAGAAGATTCTAATTCTGAAGAGTTCGCCAATTACATTAAAACATTACGAATACCGTCCAAAGTCTAATCTGCAAAGAGCCCGATTACAATGGTCAAAAAGACAATATTACATAATGTCTTTGGAGATGATCATCATAGGTTTATAGTTTAATATAAATCAATAGGGGATTGATGTCCGGTCAGTGCCAGTGGACAGCTAATCAGTGTTATGTATATTTACTACTATGACTTTTAACATTACAACTGATGTAATGTTCTGACTCTGACAATTGACTTTAAAACTCATTGGCATCATAGTTCAGCCGTGATGAAGTGTATGCCACAGGCGTACATATATTGACTGACATTGATTGTGCTTTTCCTTTCTCCGTGGAGGACTGCAGTCACGGATATATATTTTTCATAGCAGCTTTTAGGCATGATATTGCTGACCCTTGTTTTTACTGGAAAGTGGGCGTGGCCGCCATTTCGCCAGGCAGTGACGGAGCGCTGCTCTCATCCATACTCTTGATTTGGACCGGTTCAAGTGACCAACAGAGACAGACGATAGCATTGAAGGGCTACTTTTCTGTAGCCTTGTTAACTTCTCAAATTGAAGCGGAAACAAAGGTCAAACTAAAAAAGGTGAAAAAGACAACTTTTCTTGTAAAAGAACGCTGTCAAGTGCAGCTCAGAGATAATGATACCAAAACTGAAACTACGGACTCAAGAAAAACCTACTGCTCCAAAATAATACATTATATCTAGGATGAATTGTCATAAAAACATATCTCCCAATGAAGATTTTGAAAATCACATTAATGATACCCTGAAAAAATAATCCTTTACAACAATTAATGCAAGGAAAATATTTTTTTTCTAATAATAAAATCGGCCTGAATGTATTTATCATACCATTTTTCTATTGAAATGTTTTATACTGTTGTTAAGTCAATAGCCAGTGTGATGTAACAGATAACATTGTAATAGCTCGTACAACCAGTAAGGGTCATCAAACACGCCAGCAAATTAGATTGCTAGCCGTAGTGATAGTTTAGCTATCTGAGCCACAGGAGGCTCAGTGGGTTAGTGCGCCGACACTGGTTCAATCCCACCTGGACCCCCACTGCAGTCAGCATGTTGCATTGTCCCTGGGCAAGACGCTTTATCCGAAATTGTTCCTGTGGGGACTGTCCACAGAATTGAGCGTATGTAAGTCGCTTGGGTATAAGGGTCTAATAAGTACAACAATTATTAAATTAATTAATAATGTAATCTCAGCCATTCCGTAAAGCATCCTACTGCTAGCCATTGGTTCTCTTTACCTATCATCAAAAGAGCAGCTAAACTAAGTAGTTATTATTTATATCTTATCATAGTCACCATTTCAACTTAAACAACATTGTTGTCCTAACCCTAATTAAGTAGTTGTTGTAAGTAAACCTTACCTGACCAAAGCACTGTCTTCTGAATCAAAGTATCAATCGTTGAGGGTAGGTACAATTGTTGATGCTGGTAAGATATTGTGATAGCTCTGGTTCAAAAATACCCTATACAGTAGTTACCGTTGAGTAGAATATACTTTAGTTATATTCCTCTGACACAGAGAATTCGGTCTTATCTCCCAAAAATCGTGACACCTAATAATGGCCGTTCAACATTCGGTGACTTTCAAAGCTTGACTGTCATGTTGCCTAGTGACAGTTGCTAAGCTATGATTGGAAGATCGTGTCCCTGCGGAGGACAAAAAACTGTGAATCGTGTCCTTTATAAAAGGAGCTTGTCACATTAGTCATGCTTTGAAGGGAGACATTTTTCCCCTCGCTGAGTTTAAATGTCATTCAAGTCAAGCCAGTCTTATTGATATAGCCAACGTATCAGACATTTGCTTCAGCGGACTTAAAGAAAAGTGAGCCTTGTCTCAGTAGAAAATAGCCAAACAGTCATTTTTTGTTCTGCATGCGTTGAAGTGATATTGAGTTGAGTTTGCCCGTCTCCAGCCAGGAGTTATTTCCTGCTTTGGTATTACTAGCTGATATAAAGCCGTTAGAGGAGCCAGTGTTCACTATGTCTGCTGAATCAACACCAAGATATATTGACAGTCACCTTCTATTTCTTAAAACTCTGAGTTCAGTATGAGGCGTCTCAAAGCCGTAGTAAAGGTCATGAAAATGAATGAGTCAGTAGTAATTGGTCATGCCCGTAATGTTCCTCGCGTGTGTCAGTGGGTTTCTTGAACAGCTTTGACAGCCAGAGCTATCTTTGCCAGCTTAATGACCAATCAGACCCAATCACTGACAATCAAGCAAGTATTGTTAGGGTGGCCTGGTGTAATGTATGTACTGTACTGGAAAGACACTGATTGTTGTTTCTATATAATGACAAGGATGATTTTAAGACAGTAACAACATTTTATTTGTAGTGTGCAAATGCTTAAATCCCAAATCCCCCCCCGGCCAGCTTTCCAATCAGAGCAGACTTGGCTCTCTAAAAACTAAAGCAGTTTTTGAACATTGTAGCATATAAACATGTGACGGTAGATGCACAAAATACAATTACTAATTGTATACATTTGCATAATAGGGCCTCTTTAAGCAACTGAGAGGAAGCAAACTACTTTCAAAAACTGCTCAGCTGTTACAACTGAAGCGCTGTTGCTAACTTGTGTTTTTCAAATATGCATAGAAGCTTAAATTCTGTACAAACCAAGTTTGAACCTCATCCTTTAAGTAGCAATTAGGACAACTTTCCCCCTGTAGTTCCAAGTGTTAATTAGTGTTGGTGCTGCCTTTATTCAGACGATCAGTGAGAAAGCTAGTAATATATACAGATACATTATTTACTAATTCATTCCCAATGCTGTTCGAAATACCGGTAATCTATATCTTGCTGCTACCAACACAACCACTGCTAGGCATACAAATTGCATAGTGTGGCAAATAGGTAATTACATTGTGCCAGAAACATTTACTTCAAAGTAATAACTTAAAAACTAAATTGGGTTTATTTCCGCTTTAAATTGCAATCTAGTGTTAATAGAAGCTTTTAAACCCCACCTTATTTAGTTCTATTAAAAAAACCTCCAGCCTAATTCACTCGTTCCAATAGTTGTGTCAAGAGGTTGATGTGTATTGGATTGCAGTATAACAGCAATAGTTATCTCATTAGTGAATTCATGGGCCTCAGCTACAGCATGTCTGAGAGAGAATACATGTCTGTGAGGTAGATTTTAACTTTTTGACTGGTGGTATTCTTCCAACCATTAATTAGTCAATTTCAAATTACAATCGCATTTCCATCGTCTGACTGTAACCAAAACACTTGTATGTTAAAGAGGGCCTATTATGCCTTTTGGGTTTTCCCGTTTCCTGTAGTGTGTTATATAGGATGTTGTGCATGTAAGTGGTCTAAAAAAGCTATAATACCAAAGTTCCCTCCAGAGGGAGTTTGTCTCCCACACGGTTTTGTGGACCCAAAGGATGCCATCAGTCGTATGCGATTTTGGGCCATTATAAACACTTTTAATATCCTACCTTTTGTAGGTTTTCATAGAGTCTAGAGTAACTATTAAGTAAGCAGTACGTTGATATGCAATTTTAAACAGCCTTGATTTTGTTGCCCAATAACAACATGATTCACTTCCTACATTGTTACCATCACTACATCAGCTGCTATAATGCCCACAGATTTGGAACCCCTCAACTCAACTACCCAACGAAAACTCCCTTTATCTATAATCCTTAAAAAGTAAAACAATAACAGTTCACACACTTTCTGGCGCTAGCTTTAATGGTCTTTGATGGAGCATTCTCCTTTGTTATCATGAAGCTGAAAGGCCCAGAGAGCGGTCAGCTGCTCATGTAGAAGCGATATCGGCTGTGTGCTTCAGGAGAGAGCTGGGCTGTGCCAGAGGAAATGGCCTCTCTCATCACAAAGCATTAATCACTGAGTCGTCTGTTAAATGGGTCGTGGTGTTAACAAAGTATTACTATTATTCTAGAGGTGGATCTGGATCAGGGGATGAGGGGGAATGGGAATCTAGTGGCAGCGGGGAAGAAAGGGGCGTGGTGTGAGGTTGGAGGATGGCAGGTAGGAAGGAGACAAGCAGGAACAAAGGCAGCCGAGTGAGGATCCTTGGAAACACACCCACAGGTCATTCACAGCAAATACAAAGATAATGAAAGGGATCAAAGGAGGAATTAAGGTATAGTAATAAAAAGGGTGGCAATGACTGCATAGGTAGGAGGTCAGGGCGGGGGTTAACTACCACGTATGTGACATGCGTAAAGCAGTAAACTACATCTGTACAGTAACAAACACGCAAGTCCCCCTGCAGTACACCCTGAATAGGCCCCTTTCTTTCAGCACAGTAAAGGCATACTTTCCATTATTTCGTATGGAGGATACTCAACATGTCAAATTTACAAAAGAAAACTCGACACAGATTATTGAGTAAATTGTGTTATGTACATTTTTTAAATGTACCAATTCAAATGTGTAGAACAAGGCTGATTGAGGGAGCTATCCAGGGCACTGCTTCATATTTGATTCTTCCTCATCAGTCACCATTAACGTTCTTGTAAAGAGCACTTAACTCATGTTGTTACACAGCTGTAGGCGGTAGCAACTCAGGGTGAAGTATATTGCGCAAGTTTACATAGACATTATTGACTGCAACGGTTGGGATCGAACCCGCAACCCTCTTGTTGAAAGACGACCGCACTCCCTCGCAGATAGTGACTCTAAAGTTGACATTCTATATATAATTAGGAAATCCAATGTTTTATCCCCATACATCAACTCTGAACTCCGTGAGATGTGGTTGCTGTAGCAGAATAGAAGGAAAAAGTGACAAAATGAAATGTGTTTGTTAAGATTTCATCTAGGGTGAACATCTAACTCTTAATGAAATATTTAGCTGACAGCATTACAATTATTCCTTTTCTGTAGTTTCTCTATCGCATCCATCTTTCCTGTCACTGTCATTCACTTTGAAATGACATGTGCTGATGGATCAATTTGAAGATATTTCTTACTTGCTTTTATTTCAAGAACTAGTGGCTTCTTATTTCCTGCTGTCAACTCTGCATTTATGTGAAAGTTGATGTGAAGTTGAAGCATTGTTGTTGTTTTTTTCACTCGATGGACTAATCTGTTATAATCTGCACTGGAGCAGGAGGGAAGGATCTTTAGCAGCCACAAGTCGGGTTGTTTTGACATCTTTTAATTGCAACTGATTTACATCAGATATATTTAAAGCAGTTAACAGGTTACATGCCAATTCTAATTTCAGCCTCAGGTCGTAGAAGTTGTATAATATAAGAAGTTCAGGCGCTTGTTCTCCATAAATGTACTGCATGAGTAACCCATTATAACTTTCAGCCATAATCATTCCAAGCAAGTGCCAGGTTTCTTTGTCACCGGGTCATAACCAAATGAATGATTGCAGCAATCAAGAACCAGGCAACGGGGCATTACATCCTCAACGGGAAAGGAGAGGAAGTCAAGTCCAGAAGCTTCATTGACTTGGGCGTGGAGTGGCACTACGTCATTGAGGACGAAGTGGAGACTCTGCACACTGACGGGCCTCTTCACGACCCTGTGGTGGTTCTGGTAATTATAACTCCTTCTCTGTTACTGCTTGTACTTCCATTTTGTAATATCCTCTTTGCTTGAAAATGAGCCCTGTGAAAGAAGCAGGTAAGCCTATTTTTCTCATTATTTTCCCATCACTTTTACTTAGCTTTTTGTGTTGAATTGATATGATTGGAATCAGATTTTCAGGCCAGTAAAATGACATGGCAACATTCAAATGAAACGCAATTTGCTCTTTGCTCACTGCGAGGGCGAAGAGCAAAAACAGTCTAATTTTTTGTTTCTATTGTTACCTCCCGTGCCAGCTGGCTACATACAGCTGTTATCTGTTTGGTTGCGCATCAAAATGTTAGTGGTAAGTAAGGAGGTCAAAGTTGAAACAATTTGAACTGCACAACACAGTGCTTCCCGTCAGGAGGATATAAGACAGCAAAAACACTTCTGCATTAAACTGCTGCTGTGATTCTGGGAAATCTGATATTAGTCAGTCTGATTGTCCAACGTTTTAATACACGACTGTTGATGTCATATGTTCACTTCTCTTGTTAAGCAGCTCTCTCAACTCAGAAGATACTTCCTCAGATGAAGCCTGTGTGAGTTCTATTGATCATATCACATACAATTTTTAAGTGCCCCTGTGACGCATTTGGGAGAAAAATCTTAGAAAAAGGATATTTTCTAAGAATGTTGTGTTATTGTTAGGTCTAGATCCTGCTATGGATAAAAGATTCACAAAGAGACTCTTACGAGACATCCCATGGTGAAAAACACTCAGGGGTAGGGAGGAGAGATTCTAAGAGGCTTAAGTGTTTCTTCAGCAGAGGAGATTATGGCCAAAGACAAGGAGGCAAGAGAAATATTGTCCAAACACTCTATGACTGTGAGCTAACGAGACGCTGAAGATTCAATTGTACGTAAGGAGTCTAACGTTTTAATGTTTGTGATCGATCCCATTAGAGAACGCATTAAAGGGAAGTGATCAAACACCTAATATATTTTGCAATTGGAAACATTTAAATGGTTAAATTAAATGAAAAGATTTACGTGCCAACCAAAATATTTACACAATACTTTTTGTGGGCTTAGGCGGTGTTTACACGAGAACGAAACGGGTTGTACTGTATCTGCTACTTTTCTCTCGCATATAGCCTGTTCGTTCACGCAAGGCAGTAACGGAACTGCAGAAACGGACCCCGCAAACGATAACGGGTCCCAAGGTGGATAGATCTGCAAACGGAACGCTCTGGGGGGCCAAACGGCTCTGTGTGTACGCCCTATACGACCTGTTATACGTAACAGGATAGTTCCATAAGGACAACACGGAGTTAGAAAATATATATCTACTTTTAGTAATTTGCCTTTTATTAAACATGTAATTACATTACATTACATATAATTTAGGTGACGGTTTTATTCAAATCAACTTATAATAAAAAACCATACAAATTCAAACTCCGAACAACAAGGAAAGTGCAGATATATTCACTTCAAGCAAGATCACAAGAGTAGAAGAGTAAGAAAGAGTACAAGAGTAAGTGCTGGTGAATTAGTAATAAGGCCTACATTTACTCAAATAGTGAGTTTGTTTCAGCAATAATTTAATTGCCAAGGTACAATCATGTACAATCATGAAACTTTCAAGCATAATGCATAACAAAAAACACTGTGTCGCATACAGGTGAGTTAAAGAGAACATCTTTTGGAAATGGAAATGGAAAATAAACAAATCACTAAGGTGACAGATAACACAGAGAACGCCTCTCTAATTGATAATGCACAAAAAGCTTAAAAAACAAATAAACTGCATATTATAATATAATAAGCCTAAAACTTAGACCCAATGCTCCAGAAAACCTGACCTACCCTTTTCCACCAGGTGATGCTCAGGCCCTGATTCAACAGAAAAGGCTGGTGAGTGGCATCAGATTTGTTCAAAACATAACATGGTGAATATGTGACCAGTGATATTGATTAATTGTTTTAAGTCTTCAGCCAACAAATTGACGAGGGGACAGAGTCGTGTAGGTGAAATACAGTGGTAAATGTTATATTGTACTTAAAGCTAGGGTGGGTATGAACATTTTTTAAATATTTTTTTGAAATACTCCAGACAGCAATCAATAAATTAAATGCTGTGCCAAAAAAAAAATCAGTAATAAGTCTAAGACTGTAATACGCCGGTCTAAATGATGGTTTGCCTCCCTACACGCACTCATTGCGCGTAAGTGTTGTCTTGTGTTGTCTTCCACGTAGAGCTTGATGCTGATTTGGTGACTGGTGATTTGTGAAGGGTTTTTCAGTTGCATAATTCTTAAAATTAATAACCAGTGTTGGGTGTAACGCGTTATAAAAGTAACGGAGTTACAGTAATATATTACTTTTTGCTGTAACGAAGTAATGTAACGCATTACTAATGAAATTTGGGTAATATATTACCCGTTACAATGCTCAGTAACGCAGTTACAACACATTTTAACACGAAATTAAATGGTGTTTTGTTGAATGTACTAACATAGCGAGACATTCCGACACCAGACAAATTGTGCGGGTAGATTAGTAAACCTGGTGTGTTTACCCTTCAGGCTTCACGTCGGGATCTTCGGGGCAGTTGAATGTTATGCACCCTCTATTCAAAAAAGAGAACAGAGCAAAAAATACAAACAACGAATTGTGTCAGGTGCGCGTGACCTGCTCCGCTGCACGTGCAACATTTCAAAAGTGCTTCCACAGCAGTGACACACATCTGTGGATAATCAAATACGAAAATGGTTAAAGCAACCATCACTAAACGCCAGCAACACTGCATCTACTGCAGACAGTAGCAACAGGTCAGATGGGGACATCACGTTACCCTCCGTTGTGGACACTAGCTTACTCCCGCCTGACTCGCCGCCCTCGCCCCCGGAGCAGCAGTCTTCGTCGCCCGAAACTACGCCGCCCCTCTGCGGCCCGCAGGTGCCAGGATACCACGGCAAAACAGAGCCTGTCCAGGTATGTCTAAACAAGTACCTGCCTGTACAGTGGGATTAGGCGGTCATTTTGCAGCTAGTGTTATAAAAATAGACAATGGCTAGAATATTCATGTGAAAATAGTACCATATTCTGACATGTCTGTATAAATGTTGGGTCAAAAATAATGCATACAATAGCACAGATGCCTTCACCACGAATGGCTACAAAAAGATCTCATATCCCAAGTTTATCAACGAGCTAATGTTGCAGCTGAAATGTTCTCCAGGTCACAAAGTCAACCTCACATGATGATGTGATACCAGTTTTTT